CGTTTCCCCCCCTTCCCGTGTCCCCCGGCCGCGGCCCCCGGGCACCGCGCCAGGGACAGGAACAGCCCGTCCCGGCTGCCGGCACGTACCCGGCACACGCGGGGCTGCACGCACACGGACACACGGACACACGGACCCGCACACCGACACGCACACCGACACACGGACACACGGACCCGCACACCGACACACACACGGACACACCGACACGCACACCGACACACGGACCCACACACGGACACACCAGCACGCACCGGGACACACAGACACACCCACACATGCAGACACACCGACACACACATGGACACACCGACAACACGGACCCGCACACAGACACACCAACATACACACGGACACATGGACCTGCACACAGACACACCGACACACACACGGACACACCAACATGCACACACACACACACCAACACGCACACAGACACACCGACACGCACCGGGACACACCGACACACCAACCCACACACAGACACACCAACATACACACGGACACACCAACACGCACACAGACACATGGACCCGCACACAGATACACCGACACACACACGGACACACCGACACGTGCACACACACACCCTGACATGCACCGGATCACACGGACCCACACACAGACACACACCAACACACACACAGGCACACTGACATACACATGGACACACCAACACGCACACAGACACACCGACATGCACACACACACCAACACGCACACAGACACATGGACCCCCACACAGACACACCGACACACGGACCCGCACACAGACACACCGACCTGCACACACACACACTCACACCCCCCCCCACACAGACACACCAGGACACACGGACACACACTGGGACACACAGGAACACAGACATGCACGAGGACACCATGAACACACACATGGACACACAGACACATGGACACACAGGAACATGGACACATGGACATGCACACAGACACACCGACATGCACCGGGACACACAGGAACACGGACACACACACACGGACACACACGGACACGCATGGGAACATGGACACACACACAGACATGCACGGGGACACATGGATGCATGCATACACACGGACACACATGGGGACACACAGACACGCACAGACACACACGGGAACATGGGGGCAGATGGACACACATGGATACACACGGACAGAGGGACACGCAAGAACATGGACAGACAGACAGACAAACACGGGCAGATGGATACACCTGGAGACAGATGGACACGGACAGACAGGCACACGGACATGGACACATGGGAACACACGGACACGTGTGGGGACACAGATACACGGACATGGACACACATGGGAACACACACAGACACGGGGACACACAGGAACACGCAGACACAGACACACGGACGTGGATATACACACACAGACACAGGACACGGGGACACACGCAGACACGGACACACGGACAGGGATATATACACACAGAGACACGGACAGATGGGAACACATGCAGACACGGACACACGGACGTAGATATATACACACAGACACAGGACACAGGGGGACACACACAGACGGGGACACACACAGACATGGACACACACGGAAACACACAAGACATGGACACGCGGACGTGGATATATACACGCTCAGACCTGGACACACACAGGAACACACACAGACACGGACACACGGACGTGGATATACACACACACAGACACAGGGACACACGGGAACACACAGATGTGGACACACACGGGAACACACAAACACAGGACACACATGGGAACACACGCAGACACAGGGACACACGGAACACAGGCAGACACGGACACACAGACGTGGATATACACACACACAGATGCAGGACACACACAGGAACACACAGACACGGACACACACGGGAACACACAGACATGGACACACATGGGAACACATGCAGACACGGGGACACACATAGAGACATGGACACACACGGGAACACACAGACACGGGCACACGGAGGTGGATATACACACACAGACACGGGACACACAGGGGGACACATGAACACACACACACAGACGCGCTTGTCCCCCATGTCCCAGCCCCCCGTGCCCCAGGGACACTGCTGGTGTCATGGGGTGTCCCCGTGCCCCCAGTGATGGTGCCCCCACGTCCCCGTGACGGTGTCCTTGAGCTCACGGTGACAGCGCTGGGGCTGCAGGTGCCTGTGGGTGCTGGGGCGCAGTGGGGGTGCAGTGGGGAGGTACGGGGGGGGGCAGTGAGAGCAGTGGGGGTGCCCGGGGTGCAGTGTGGGTTCAGTGGGGGT